AAAAAAAAAAAATTTTTTTTCTTTTCTCAATATTTCATATTTGAATTGAATGAGATTCTGCTTTTATACAGGAGATTTTGAAAGGACAATTTATTAGAACTGGTAAGAGTGTAGAGACTATTTCCTTGATACAGGTAAAAATATTTTAAGAAAAATGTTTCTGCCTCAAAAAATTCTTTCTCTATTAACACAAAACTTACATACCCAGCAGCTGGGGACATGGCGGAAAACAGCATGTCCTGTTTGACACTAATGGCAGTGTCACCCAGCATTAGTGGCCCTTTACCTTCTGCTTGTCACAGGGGGAGTCGCTGTCCTTGTGAGTGCAGGGAACTGGAGCCCTGCTCCTTTTCTCCTGTGCTGGGGAGGTGGTCACTGGGGAGCATTTCTGGTCCTCCAGCTGGGGTTGCAGATGGCGGTCACCCCACTTCTGTGACTGCACCTTGGACTAAGGGGTTGGAGCATCAGGGACAGGTCTGTGGGATCAAAACTTTCCAAAGGCCCTGGGTACAGGGGCGGTACTAGCTGGTAAACACTCAGGGTCCCGCAGGCTTAACCGCAGTGTACCACAGAGGGGCTGTTTTTGTGTTGTCATTACAACTAGATATGTTTGTTTTTTTTTTAAAGAAACAGTGTGTTGCTCAACTGAGTAATTAATTTTTTTCTTCTATTTTAGGCTGTAGAAAATCTCTGCTCCCATAAAGTCTCCCCAACACTGTACAAGCAGCTGCGCCAGGTCTGCGAGGACCACGTCCAGGCGCAGATCCTCCAGTTTAGAGAATATCCTTTTTTTGGCTCGTGAAGTTTCTGTTTATTACCTAGATCTTTTAAAATTGAACATTAATAGGGTGAAGAACTAATGAATGTCTAATTAGTCTAATTAGCACCTTTTCACTAATATTGAAAACAAATAGGTTTTTAAGTTCACTTTTATTTGTAGAACAAAAGCTTATGGCTCAGTTTTATAATCTTTAAGTGAACTTGTTACTAATTAAATTACTTTGCGGATCTGAATTAAAGGGAAGTAATGTCTTTGTTGAGTCTGGTTGAAGTACTTAGAAAAAGTTCTGCGAAGTGTCTTATATTTGGGTTCTGCTCCCCTTTATTCCAGGGGGACCATCTGTATTGGCTTTCTGTGATGTGTGACAAGTTCCCACTCACTTGGCCGCGCAGCCACTACCTCCTTACTGGCTAAGGGCTATGCCGGGCAGGTGTCAGGGTGTGGCGTGACCCTTGCTCTACCAGCTGTGAGCATCTGAGATGGGGGCTCTTCCCAGCACCTGCAGGTCCTCGGTAGAGCTTGACTTTAGGGTGTGCTTTCACTCTCCGCCTCAGCCCTGCCTCTGTCTGGCAAGACAGAGGTGTATACAAGGCAGCCTGAGCACAGGACTGATGCCGGTTGTGGTGGAGGGTTGGGAAATGCACTAATGTCGGGGCAGGGAGGGGCGTCTTCCAATCTCATGCTGTCCTTGCCCATGTCTTGTCTGGAAAGGATCTCTGAGCTTCTTAACATCCCATAGAAAGTCCTTCATCTGGCCTCTGGCCAGTTCCCCAGCTCCTCCCATTGCTAGAGCCACCCGCATGCTTCACTGAGCAGAAATTAAAAAGTAAATTCATAACTCCAGAAAGCCTGCTTGGGACTGGGCTTTGCTAGGCCTCTACTTCTTAATGGGTAAAATTAGGTAGGTGGGATTTACTCGTTTATAAGTTTTCTTCTGTTTCAAGGAATCTTTTTTGACCTGTCTTCTTCATCTTGGGAAACGAAACCATCCTGAGTTCCTTGGAATGACCTGTGGACAGCTGCAGCAATTGGTGTGGCCTGTGTTGGGCATGTGGCAATAAAGCCTGGTGGTCCTGGGCAAGCTGCGCCCCTGTGACAGCATCTGCAGTATCCCCCACAGAGGCCTGGCCCAGTTCATTGGGTTGGTTCTATAAACACCCTCTGTAGTGTGTTCTGGCAGGGATCTGTCCTAAAGGTTGTGAGGTGGCTTCAGATCACAGTAGCCACATGGGCCCTTTTGGAACCTGGCCAAAGCATACCCTATCTCAGAAGGCACCTGTGAGGGCACCCAGGACCCACCCACCACCATGCCTGGGGAGCCCAGTGCAGCTTCTAGGATGGGGGAGCAGCCTCCAGAATGGGGGCATGGCCTCGGGGGGGGGGGCAATCTGGGATGGAAAGCACAGCCTCCAGGACTGGGTGAGTACAGGCAGCAGATGCTGTCCCAGTTGACGTGAGAACTGCTTTCTGATAACCTGATCAAATTATCCTCCTGCCAGTTAATTCTGCCCTGTGGATTGACCAGTGTGCTCGTTAATTTCCTCTTTGAGCAAGTACTTGCCCCTTGCTATGTGCTAGTGGTGGGAAATGTCTGCCATCCAAGAAGCCTATCTTGTGGCAGAGGTGGGGAAGGATCATCCCCCTCTGTGTGGCAAAGCCAGGACTCTGAACATGTTTCAGCTGTGGGCATCTGAGGTGGCAGCTCAGAAAAAAAAAGAAGAAAGAAAAAAACTGCTCTCTTAAAAGACCTTGTTAGCATCTTGAGTTTAAAAAAATGCGAGACAGAGTCAGGATCAGAACTGCATAAGTGGAGCATTTCCAGGCTAAGCCTCTGCTCGGAAGTGACCCAATACTGCACCTGGGAGGAGGGTGGGGCCTGCCCAGACAGCAAACACTACATCAGAGTGTGCAGCCTGCGTGGGGAGCCCTGGGGCGGGGACTTGGTTGGGGCAGGACAGGTTTGAGCCTAGCACAAGGCTGTAAGTTGCATTTGAGCCCTTGTACGTGGCCAAGTTTGACTTGCGCTCGTAATTATCTGAGTCCTGACACATACCAGATTGATTATGGAGATCACGCTCATGCCGTGGTGAGGTTGATTAGAATGTGGCCTAACACATGTTTCCAGGTGTCTGTCATGTGCTGGGTATAATGCCAGATCCTAGGGAAATAAATCGATGCTGGCCCAGAGGCGCAAAGAAGCCCTTGTGTGCCACTGTGGTGGGGGTGTAGAGGCCCAGACAGGCTTCCATGCGTAAGGAATGAGCAGCCTGCCCAGGTGGGTAACGTGTGGCACAAGGCAGTGTGCAAGCCTCAAGATGAGGTCCCCAGCGGTGGGAGTAGTGTGTGCAGTCCTGGGGCTACGGGGGGCACCTGTTGGGCAGAGAGGGGAAAGTGTTTGCCAATAAAAGAGAAACTAGAAAAGGGGGGGTGTTGAATCATGGTGGGGCCTCTGCGAGACTAAAAAGTCAGTTCTGTCTGAAGATGGAGATTCAGCCAAGGTGTTCAGGTACATGGAAGATGGTGGGCCTGAGTGTGTGTAGGGGCATTGAGACCATGGAGCTAGAGGGGCAGTGTCTTTGACATAGTGGGCTCCAAAGAAAGCACATGCCCGTGGCATGGAAAGGACCTCAGGCAGGACTAGGGTAGGGGGTCTGGTCCTAGTAGTTGAGCCAAAGCAGGTGGCCGTGCTGGTGTGCAGTGGAGCTGGGGACAGATCCCAGGGTCCAAGACATGGAGGACACTGCCCAAAAGAAGAGGAGGAAGGAAGGCCTGCAAGGTCTTTGTGTGGGGACTCGGGAAGGGCATTCAGATGGCCACTGGGTTAGCGGCTGATGAGTGAAGTCTGCTGGGGTAGCAAGACCAAGAATGTGGCAGGGTCACTGTGCCCAAGACTTCTGGACCATAGGTAGACGTTCACCTAGTGAACACCAAGGGAGTGTTTATAGCAGACTACACACTGCATTAGGGACAGAGGATGGGGGAATGGCAGAGTCCTGCCCTTAAAGAAGCATTTTTCTGAAAGAAAGTTACGACCCAGCCTCAGGGAGGCTTCGGAAGCCCTCTGCTGATGAAGTGGGTCAGACATCCAGGCTGGCAAGGGACTTTGTTGGGTTGAGTCATCTGCTATTGTCCCAGTTTGTCACGTGTCCCCATTGCACGTGTTGGGTGCACCCTGCACTTGCCTGTCCCTTACACAATAGGGCCCCTGCTCCTGGAGATACCCTTACCTGACAGGAACTCCTCTGGGTGCACCTGCAGGCTCACACAACCCCTGCACACCCAGAGGAGTTCTTGGAAGTAGAGACTCAGGCTTTCTTCTCCCGACTCAGCCTTGTGGCTTTGCAGCTTTGGTCAGCCACAAGACGCCTTCACAGAGGGAGGCAGGGTAAGTGAGCAGGAAGGCCCAGGGCCCGTGGTCGCTCTGCATCAAGTCCTTGTGCTTCCCATGCACGGCAGCAGCTTCAGAGAGCAGGTGGCACCTCAGAGCGCTGCATTGTGAGCCCCCTGTTCCCCACACACTCCCGAGCTGTGATTGATCAATGTAACACCCCCATCTTTTTTATGGTTGAATAGTATTCCATGGTATACACTACCACAGTTTGTTAATGCATCCCTGGGTTGATGGCACTTGGGTTGTTTCACATCTCTGTGATTGTGAATTGAGCTGCTATAGGCATTCAAGTACAGATATCTTTATAGTAAAATGATTTTTATTTTTTAAAAATTAGATAGGCTAAGTAGGTGCTTTTCTATGGTGTATCATTAGCATTTTGCTGTTGGACTTTTCTGATGGGTGCCGAGTAGGTCCTTCGTCGGGATGGCTCTTTCCCTGGTGTGAGGAAAGGGTGATGGCTGGAACCTACTTCAAGCACAGACTGCTGATGGCATCACTGTGTCTGCAGGCCTCCCTGGGACTGCCACTCTGTGGTATTAGCTAATCATTTCATACTTTTTTCTGTGAGAAATACCAAAAAAGTTCATTGTGTAGCTGTGTTGACCTTACAGAGCCGTGTAAGAGTGTGTATGTTGGCCCTTTCCATCTAACGAGACAGGGTGCTGGGCAGAACTCTGCCTTGGTGGTGGGCACCGTCTTCAGACACCCCCTGGCCTCAGATTAAACCTGTTATGTTTCAGGGCCTATGGGGCCTCACCTTTGGCCCCACCGCTGCCAGCGGGAACCTGCCAGGGTATGGCTGGCAGCTCCAGCCCAACACCTGCGGTCAGTGCTCTGGGCTACTGCGGTGGCGCTTCAGCCTGCGGAGGCTGAGCAAATGTGCGTGTGACTGGTATTTTTTTTTGTTTGTTTTTTTCCAGACTGTTCATATAGATTCCTGTCACAATGAAGCGTTATAATTTTTTTTTTTTTTTTTTGAGACAGAGCCTCAAGCTGTTCCCCCTGGGTAGAGTGCTATGGCATCACAGCTCACAGCAACCTCTAACTCCTGGGCTCAAGCAAGTCTCCTGCCTCAGCCTCCCAAGTAGCTGGGACCACAGGCGCCCGCCACAACGCCTGGCTATTTTTTGGTTGCAGCCATCATTGTTATTTGGTGGGCCCGGGCTGGATTCGAACTTGCCACCTTAGGTGTATGTGGCTGGCACCTTAGCCACTTGAGCCACAGGCGCCAAACCAGGCGTTATAATTTTGAAGACTTGTGGAGGAGTTTTTCTGGAGTAGTTTATTAACCAGTGAACTATTAGGGCTTCACTGCAATACTATAGTTTTCTCTTACTGGTTGTGTTTCCTGAGGGGCCGACAAGGCGTGAAGCAGGCTATTTGGCCAACCCTACCTGTCCTGATGGCCACTACATGTCCAGTGTTCCCAGGGTGCGGGCACCCTCGGTCCCCGTCCTCCTCCTCACCCTTCCCTCTGTTGGCCTGCACTCTGCTGACACTGAACACATGGGCCCCTCCTGGATGTGTGCACACCTGCCTGACTGGGTTTCTCATTGTCCAAGGGCTTTGTCTGCCCCCTCACCTGAGCACTGAGGTGCATGGTGTTGCTGCCTTGGCCGGCGTCTCATGGCTGACAAGTGGGAGGCCAGGACATAGAGCTGGGACATCCATGTTCTGTCCACTGCAGCCCACCATGTTGTCCATCATGGCAAAGGGAATGGCGTCTGTGTCGCGAGGTCAGAAAGATCAAATGAGAATGATGTGAAAGGATAATATTTTGTGAACCACAGAGCACCTTGGAGTTTGTAACTTTGGACTTGGTGGAGACTTGTTGGGGCAGCATGAGGTCCTGGGAGCCACATCCTTGCTCAGTCTGTGTATAGACTACATTTTGAGCCTGTATTACAGAACATATTCTCAGAGTCAAACTGAGAGTATTGTGATTTGGTCCATGAATGCAGTTTCCTGTCAGTGTTATAGAAAGTTGGTTTCCTTGAGGCTAGAAGTTAGAGCCAAGCCTCAGCCCCCGTCCTGTCCCTCATGCTGTTAATGGTCACCTTCCTGCCTCCTGAGCACTCCAGAGCAGTGCTGTGGGACCCTCTGCGTGCGAGGTGACCAGGGAGCGCTTGTGACCTGGGTGTGCATGTCAGTAGGCAGAAACCCAAATGTGTCTGGCAGGGAAGAGCTGAGTGAAGGAAGGGGCTGGATGGGGCAGTGAGAGGTGAGAGACCCTTACAGACAGGCGGGGAGTGGGGCTGAGGGTGTTGGAGGTTAACAACAGCCATGAGTGCTGTTGCAGCTTTTGTCTGCCATAGTCTGTTCAGGGTGCTGTGACAGAATGCCAGGTATTTATAGACAGCAGGTGGTTCCCACAGTTCTGAGTCTGGAAGGCTGAGATCCTGGTGCCATAGACTCAGTGCCTGGGGAGGCCTTTCTGGGCCGTGTCCTGCATGGTGGGAGGTGTGGCAGCTTTCTGGCCCCATAGTCACTGATCCGTCCTGAGGCTCCACCCTCTGGACTTCGTCATACCCCAAGGCTCCACCTCCTAACACCTTGCTGGGATGAGGGTTTTGAAGCACAGTTCTTTCCATGTACTGATTGCTGTTAATAAATAATGTGTTGTCCTCAGTGGAGAAGGGAGCTAAAATGAGGGGCTAAATCTGCAATCCTCATAGATTTCCTTAGCAGACCTTTACAGACTCGCTAGACAGTGTCTTATTCCTGAAGAAGATGAACGCATGCTGGCAAGACCACTGCAGACAGATGGTGAGCCTGCCACTCCACCAGCATGGGCAGTGTGCACAGGGTGTGCTCCTGTCCCCTGCCCCACTGCCAGCCAGTGCCAGCTCTGGGCTTGCCCTCACCTGCATGTCCTGCTGGGTCTCACTAAGCCTCTAGTTTAGCTGGACATGAAATACCTGTGAGGGTCGGGCACAGTGGCTCAAACCTATAATCCCAGCACTCTGGGAGGCCAAAGCAGGTAGATTGCCCTGAGCTCACAGGTTTGAGACCAGCCTGAGCCAGAATGAGACCCCATCTCTAAAAATAGCTGGGCATTGTGGGGCGGGCGCCTGTAGTCCCAGCTACTTGGGAGGCTGAGGCAAGAGAATTGCTTAAGCCCAGGAGTGGGAGGTTGCTGTGAGGCCCCGGCACTCTACCGAGGGTGACAAAGTGAGATTGTCTCAAAATAAATACATAAATAAAATAATGAAACTTTCGTGCATCTCATTAACCTAGTAGGGTGGACCCCATCAGTCCATCAGGAAATAATTTTTTAAAAAAAAAATTTTTTTTTTTTTGAGACGGTCTCACTCTCATAGCAACTCTCTCCTTCTCTTGGGCTTAAGAGATTCTCTTGCCTCAGCCTCCCAGTAACTAGTACTACAGGTGCCCACCTCAATGCCTGGCTATTTTTGTTATTGTTGTTTAGCTGGCCCAGGCCAGGTTCAAACCTGCCAGCCCTGGTGTATGTGGCTGGCACTGTAACCACTGAGCTACAGGCACCGAGCCAAATAATTAAATTTAAAAGATCCCCCTTAGACTAAAAGCCTTCAAATGCCCACAGCTACATTCACTGTAATAAGATATGAAAGTCAAATTCCACGGGGAGCCATTAGATTTAGGAAAAGACCTCAGACATGAGGGCCTGGGCAGTAGCACCTGCCCACTGAGGAGGGTGTAGCCAGGGGTGAGGCCTGGCAGTGTTGTGTTCAGGACTTGTTGTGGGCATTTTGATGATAGAAGGTGTAAGTTGTTTTCCCTTCCGACCATCAGATCATGATCAGGAGCATCTTCCTGTTCTTGGACCGCACCTATGTGCTGCAGAACTCCATGCTTCCCTCCGTCTGGTGAGTCCATCTGCAGCAGGCCTGTCCTGCAGCTGACCCTGACCTCTCTCTTGGGCTATATCCTCCTCCTCCTTTGTGCTTAGGTCAGCCAGGGTCACAGGTGCCAGTGGAGGAGGCCAGGGTCTGTGTTAGCTAGGGGGGAGCAGCCCTGGCAGGCGGGGTGCCCAGTAGTGAATCCAGTACCTTCTCCAGTTCACATTGAGTCTCACCACTGGGCCCCAAGGGGTCCCGGCCTGGAGCTGGTTGGTACCCTTTGGAGACTTTTCTCTGACTTGTGTGGATTTCAGGGCTGCCTGCAGTAGCTCTTTCCAGCCATGCAGCTGAACTATGTAGAGACTGTAGCTGCTCTCAAGGTCACCACCCAGGCCCTGGAGTGGCTTCATCTCCCAGCCCTGTCTCAGGCACAAAAATGATTCTCCAGATACACTAGGGTTTCCATCTTCCTTCTCATCCCTTGTCGTTTGTAGGGACTGGGTCAGTTGGGAGCCTCTCCCTGGTGTTGCTCTAGGTCTCCTGGGCATTCTGCAACCCCCTGCCCCTCACTGCCATAGTCTGTGCTGACCCCATGCCTGGGCAGCAAGCTCGGGGGCCCTCCTGCGTCCTGAAAGCCAGCATGAGGCAAAAGCGTGTGTCTGTCTCATCCTGGCTCATCCTTTCTCTGATGTTTTAAAACTTCATTTTTCTCCCACTGGGAAGAACCAGTGGTGCTGCCCCTCTCACTCCCCAACCCCCAAGTTTTTATCACCAGGAGTCCTGCTCCTGCCCACACCCTCCTCTGTGCTCTCTCTCCCAATGTAGTGTGATGTCTGTTCTCACCAAAGAGGTCAGTAGCCTCTGAGTTAACACAGCCTTATTTTATATGACCTGACATCTGTGCGGTTTTGGACACTGTCCCCTTCCTTAAGACCATTTTTTTGTTCCTTTTGCCCCTCTGGCACCCGCAGATGTCCATGTGGTGTCCCCAGAGGCAGACGCTACACATTCAGCTCTGTGTTGAGACATGCCGGGGAGGTCAGATGACAGCAGCAGGTGGTTCTGTGTTTGCTCTGCTCTGTGAGGGGCCACAATTGTGCCGTTTCCCAAAAGCAGGCACAGGGAATCAGCAGGTCCTGCTCTGCCTGGGCTGTTTGGCACCATAGTCTAAACTCTTAATTTATTAGCACAACTATAAACATTATAGCACGAAATAAACTATGCCACCTCCAGTCCCCCACAGAAGGCTGAGAATCTGAATATGAGAGTCAGTGAAATGAGACCCAAATGTGCCAGTGCAGGATGTGTGGCTGGGGTTCGGGGTCTGTACTTTTGTCCCCTCCTTAATCGAGCATTTGGTGATTATGGGGCCAGCAAAGGTGTTAAGGTGGGGGATATGCAATACAAGCTGGGCTTTGCAGACAGTCATGCTGGTGGCTGTGGGCTGAGTGCTCAGGACCATGTGCAGGGGCTTCAAGTGCTCGGAGCAAGGATGGTGCCTGCGGCAGCTTTGCAGGACAACAGGGTTATAGAGGACACCCAGAGGCGGTCGAGGGGTGGTAGGCGGGTGGGGCCTCTCCAGTCACCCACCAGGGAGGATAGTGTGACCCAGAGTCTAGCGGTCACTATATCAGGATTTCATTGTCAGTGGCATTGGTGACTGAAACGTCCCAGTACCTGACCACATCCAGGAAAATACAACAGTCCTGTTTAAGGGAGAATACAAGGCATACTAGACTGACAAAAACAAAGTAATTTTGAAAAAGGAATTCTCAACTCACCAGTGTAGAGAGCGAGCAGGTCAGTACTTTCGGGGCACTCACAGCACAGCTGCAGCTTCTCTAGAAACTTTAACACTTAAGACTAAAATGAGTGTTTCTTTCTCTCTGTACAGGGACATGGGATTAGAGCTGTTTAGAAACCACATTATTAGTGACAAGATGGTTCAGAGCAAGACGATCGATGGAATTCTGCTGCTAATTGAGCGGGAGAGGAGCGGGGAGGCAGTGGACAGGAGCCTGCTGCGGAGCCTGCTGGGCATGCTGTCAGACCTGCAGGTTCGGCTGCTGGGTCACAGCAGGAAGCATGAGATACCAACAGAGCTGGGGGAGGCCGGGGTGCTGAGGCCAACACAGTGCAGGGGCCACAGAGAACCAGACAACAACATAAAATGCACATTTTTCATGGAAAATGTACATCACAAAGATGAAAGGTGATGTTTTTTAATGCACATGAGGCTTTCCCCCCAGAAAGAATATAGTGGATAAACCAGCTGGGAGGGGCCTTTGGTCACATAGCAGGGGTTAGGGTGCTCATTGGTGCAGCTCACTGCATCCTGCCCCTCAGAAAGTGGGGTACGTTAGTACTTGTAAAGAGAGGTCAACAATTCTGCTCCTTCTTAGGTATATAAAGATTCCTTTGAAGTGAAATTTTTGGAAGAGACTAATTGTTTGTATGCTGCAGAAGGCCAAAGATTAATGCAAGAGAGAGAGGTAAGATGATGAAATGGTTCTGATGGCTTGATTTCACTTCTTAAGTGTGCATCTAGGTGGAATCTCTTAATGCTTGTCCTCTCACCTTCTGACAGCTACAGTCTAGGGAAGATCCCCAGCTCTCTTACAGGAAGATTAAATTTCCTTCCGTTAACAGGCACTGTTGCTCTCCCCCAACAATCAAAAGCTAGTGAGATAGTTTTTGAAATACGTGAAAGCCCTCAAGTTTAAGCAAGAGGATAAAAAGTAAATTCTAAAAAAGAAAGATAAATATAAATGAAAACATTTTTTACTTGTGTGACGCATTAAAGAAAATTTTCCCACAAAGTCATTTGAAAAAAGTGTGAGTAGTCATAGAAGCCCAAAAAACTTAACCCATTTCACGATACTGGAGCATTGGCCCAAGGGAATCCTGGCCCCAGGCACACTCATGGTAGGGGGACCAACCTGCTTCCTCAGTCCTGACTTTAGAGAAAATTCCCCGGGCCTCACCACAGCTACTCAGGGCAGGGCATCAAAGAGCCATGTTCTGAGGCCTTCCTGTGCTTGGGGCAGCAGCAGACCAGAGTGCACCCTGGAAACCGGTGCACATGAAGTCCCTGCAGCCATGTGGCTGTGCCCCAGACAAACAGCCAGTCTGGTGATGAGCTTTGACTGCCCAGCTGTGTATGGGCTGAGGGCTGCTGGCAGGCCCTGCACCCTCCCACTGGGGCTGTTCCCATCTGCCCATGGCCTTAGGGGTGGACTGTGTGGTGAACAGGACAGTAAGGTGTGTCCAAGTGGTACTTCCTGCCGCAGCTCACACAGCTCTCTGTCCCCCTGCCCATCAGTCTGTATTAATATTTGGCTTGAATGTAATTTTATAAGAAAAATAAAACTTCAGTTTCTTGGATTAATATTGAGGATCTTTCTGTTTCTGATATATTTAAATGTTTTGTTTGGAAGGTTCCAGAATATCTTAACCATGTAAGTAAACGTTTAGAAGAAGAAGGAGACCGAGTGATCACATACCTAGACCACAGCACACAGTAAGTCCTGCATGGCCTCCGGGTCCACCTCACTGCAGGGGACATGACTTGCTGGTTAGTGAGACGAATGGTGCCTTCGTAAGTTCACTCCAACTAGCCAGGAGGGTCTTTGCTGCTAGCTTATTTTCTCATACCACGTCTGGTCCTTCGGCACTCACAAACCACACTCCACTGAGTACCCCATCATGAGTTAGGAGACACATGGCATCTTTTTGGGCTCTGAGACCAGGGGTTCTGTTTATGTTGATGGAGTGTCACTGAATATTTGGCAGTTTTTTTAGGCATCTTATAACCTCTAATCTTTATTTACGATACTATCACATTTGCTTCTTTTATCACGTAATGTTTTTCTTTAAGCCAGGGGTTGGTGAGCAGCTGGAGATAGAGCAAGGGAGAGGTCATGCAGCATGTGCACCAGGCACAGAGTCTGCATGTGCAGCAGTGGGACAGAGGAAGGCTCCTAGAAGGGAGAGCAACCTGTACCTGGTGGAGAAGGGGCAGCCAGGGTAGAGGAAGGCACCGGGTCCATGCAGAAGGACACAGGAAGGACAGCAGGATTTGAGGGGCATGTGGGAAATCCAGGACCCCAGGCCAGAGTGAGGGAGCCTGGGCAGAAACAGCAGGACATGGGAGACTAGTGGAGAGCATGGAGTCAGCAAAGCCAAGGTATGGGCCCACAGCCCCAGCTCTGTCCTCTGTGGGGGGATGCCCACCCTCCTCCTCCTCCTCCTCCACAGGGTTGCTGTGAGATAGAAATAGGATGGGTTGTACCTTACAGAGCTGCTTTTTTTTTTTTTTTTGAGACAGAGCCTCAAGCTGTCCCCCCTGGGTAGAGTGCTGTGGCATCACAGCTCACAGCAACCTCCAACTCGTGGCCTCAAGCAAGTCTCCTGCCTCAGCCTCCCAAGTAGCTGGGACCACAAGCGCCCGCCACAACGCCTGGCTATTTTTTGGTTGCAGCCATCGTTGTTTGGCAGGCCTGGGCTGGATTCGAACCCTCCACCTTAGGTGTATGTGGCTGGTGCCTTAGCCACTTGAGCCACAGGCGCTGAGCCGACAGAGTTGTTTATAACCATAGAATGCAGGCTTGGGAGGATGGCCAAAAGTAAAATCTTTAGAGTAAATCAGATGCTCTGATTTTCTGAAAAGAACAAGAGTAGTTGATTGTGGATAGTAAAAGAAAGTGGGAAGAAGTGGAGTGTGCCCTGTGCACGGGGTCCTGCCTGCTGCTCTGTGACACACCTCAGGCCTCAGAGGATGCTTCCTCACATGGTGGACAGAAGGGGACTTGGGGCAGAGCTGGAGACAGGGGGCTTGGGGACCTGGCACAGGAGGAGTGGGAGGAAGTGTGTTTTGGGCTCCATCTCTAGAGCCCAGAGGTGCCCTTTGAATTGCTGAAGGGCATGGCACAGTCCACCTGTGTCTCAGCTGGAAAACCAGGTTAGGCAGGAGATGGGGGGTGAGGGCCAGCTCTGCACTCTGAGGGAGGAAGTCAGTGCACGTGGCTTTCCCACAATGATTGTGGCACGTGACGATCTGTGCTGAGACTGGGTTGAACTGCTCAGGAATCTTGGGGCTAGGGGGTATGTCTGCAATGCAGGATGCCCCAACCAGTGAAGTGCCTCATGCTAAAGGCAAAATGGAAATGTGTAGCCTGACACGGTGCCCAGCTGGGGGGTTGGGGCTGCCTCCCCCCAAGGTGTGCTCACCTATCTACCTGTTTGTGCTATTCAGAGGGTTGTTTTTAGAGAGGGCTCCAGATTGTCTTTGGTACTCACCATGGTGGTGTGAGCAGGAAACACCTGCCCCTTCCTTGTTTCTGACTGGCTGGGGATTGTTTCAGGCCAGTTCTCCCACCATTTGCAGCTAACCCAAGTTTCTTCTTTGACCTTTATTTCTAATGCTGCTTCTTTTTGGCTCATCTAGGAAACCGCTGATTGCTTGTGTGGAGAAACAGCTGTTAGGGGAGCATTTGACAGCAATTCTGCAGAAAGGTAGATGCTGCTCACTCTGTGAATGGGGCTAAGCCCGACCCTTAGCTCTCTGGGGAGGAGGAGAGACTGGCAATCAGCAACATAAGAAATCTCTGGTGAACATGGTAGCCACTGAGGGGAAAGATAAAAAGATGAGAGAATGGTGCATATAGAGCTGCATTTGTTCCTACAAGTCCCTTCACTCCTCTCTGGCTGGAAGGCCCAGGCGGCCCTGCAGTGATTGGGACAAGACAGGACACCCAGGCACAGGCCAGTGGGTGGCCTTGGACACAGGCAGGTGGGGGCCCTTGGACACGGGGTAGGGGAGCCTCAAACACAGGTGGGGGGTGTACCTTGGACACAGGTGGGGGGCCTAGAGCTTTGGCAGAGCCTTCTGCCTATCAGCTTTCCCCAGGGTCTTCCTCGGGGCCCTCTGTGGTCCTGGTATCAGGCAGACTGCCAACTGGAGCGAGCATTCCTCTCCTCACCTCTCTGGGAGAAGAGAGCACGCTCTTCAGTTGCAGCATCTACTTTGTGTCCTGGAGGTGGCAGGGGCTGCTTCTGCAGCTGGCCCTTGAGGGCATTGCTGAGGAGCCGACTCCAGCTTTGTTTGGTTGCTTTTGTGTCCAGCCTTCAGAGTGTGTTTAATACTCTGGAAATTACAGTAGCACGGTTCAGCCTTTGTAACACTTGAGTACTCATTTTTTAATAATTTAAGTGGTTAATGTCACCATTTGAGTCATTTTAAAATGTATTTGGAAGCCACAGAGTCTCTTTCAAGCCATTAGATACTTTAAAGTTTAACTTGGGGAAGGCCCTAAATAGTGTGCACATGTGTTCTGTTTGGGGCTGTGCTTTGCCAGATAACACATTATTGCCCATGAGATAATGAAGTGGGGCTCGAGGTGAAGCCAGAGTGAAAGCAGGGGAGTGGCCTGCCCTGCTCGCTCCTGCCAGGCAGATGCTGCTTCCTGGGCATCAGCAGTAGAACAGTCCTGTAGAGGCACAGCCCCATTACACATATGAGAAGACTGAGGCTTGCTTACCTCGTGAGATAAGAGCAGGGTCCCCTCTGGGTGTCTTCTGCTGACACGTGCAGTGTTCAGACACCTATGCTGCTATTGTGTTTCCACATGAAGAAGGAATTAATTACCTGTCCAACCTAAAAACAGGTGCATTCAGGATATGTATCAGGCATTTTCAAAAAAGAAGTCACTTTAGAAGGAAAAAAACTTTGGCTTGGTGCCTGTAGCACAGCGGTTACAGCGCCAGCACAAACACCAAGGCTGGCAGGTTCGAACCCAGCCTGGGCCTGCTAAACAACAGTGACAACTGCAACAAAAAATAGCCAGGTGTTGTGGTGGGTGCCTGTAGTCCCAGCTACTTGGGAGGCCGAGGCAAGAGAATTGCCTAAGCACAAGAGCTTGAGGTGGCTGTGAGCTGTGACACCACCACACTCTACTAAGGGCAACAAAATGAGACTTTGCCTCAAAAAAAAAAAAAACAAGAGAAAAAAAGCTTTGTAAATTTCCATAAATTATTTCAGTGCAAATTTTGAGCAAAATTGTTTCAAGAAAATGATAAATTATATATTACTCTAAATTTTGCATAGAAATTGGAAATAACGTAAATACTATTTTATAAGTAATATATAAAAACTATTTTAAAATAGTTATGTAAAATATGTAAAAACTATTTTAAAAATTAAAAAGTTATATTTTGAATTCTTTTTTGAGACAGAGCCTCAAGGCTGTCGCCCTGGGTAGAGTGCTGTGGCATCACAGCTCACAGCAACCTCCAACTCCTGGGGCTCAAGCGAGTCTCCTGCCTCCACCTCCCAAGTAGCTGGGACTACAGGCACCCGCCACAGCACCCGGCTATTTTTTGGTTGTAGCCGTCTTTGTTGTTTGGCGGGCCCAGGCTAGATTCAAACCCGCCAGCTCAGATGTATGTGGCTGGGGCCTTAGCCGCTTAAGCCACAGGCGCTGAGCCTATATTTTAAATTCTTAAGATATTTAGGGCCTAGGTAAAATATAAAAAGTTTATTTGTATCAGTAGATCAAAATTAAATTTAAAGGAATAATAAGGCCAGGTTCAGTGGCTCACGCCTGTAATCCCAGCAATCTGGGAGGCAGGTGGATTGCTTGAGCTCACAAGTTTGAGACCAACCTGAGCAAGAGCAAGACCCTGTCTCTACTGAAAATAGAAAAACTGAGGCAAGAGGATTGCTTGGGCCTATGTTTGAGGTTGCTATGAGCTATGTCACCACAGCACTCTACTCAGGATGACCACTTGAGACTGTCACAAAAATAATAATGATAAGCATTTGGAGCCCTAGGTGAGGATTATAAGTATAACTTTACCATGTTGGTGCACATTTTTAAACTACCTCTTTTCGGTGTGTGGGCATTGCATCCACCCAAAGCAGAGTCTGCTCACAGCTGTCTACCCCACCTCAGCTGCCTGCCCGTGGTGATCATAAAGCAGGTGTCCAGAAAATACTCTGTGAGAGCTTTTCTTTTTTTTTTTTGAGACAGAGTCTTACTATATCTCCCTCAGTAGAGTGCTGTGGCATCACAGCTCATAGCAACCTCAAACTGTTGGGCCTAAGTGATTCTCTTGCCTCAGCCTCCCAAGAAGCTATAGGCGACAGGCACCTGCCACGATGCCCTGCTAGTAAGAGCTGTTCTAATTGTGGTGAACAGCTATTTCTGTTCTATGCTGTTTCATTTATTCTTTGTAAAATGTAAATGTCTAAAACAAACATGTTTAAATGCTATGTTAAACATTTAAAAATATCTGACACTATTCTCCCTCTTAGTTTACTATATATGTTAATAACATTAAAAAACTAAAAATCAGGGCGGTGCCTGTGGTTCAGTGAGTAAGGTGCCAGCCCCATATACCAAGGGTGGCAGGTTCAAACCCGGCCCCGGCCAAACTGCAACACAAAAATAGCTGGGCATTGTGGTGGGTGCTGTAGTCCCAGCTACTCAGGAGGCGGAGGCAAGAGAATCACCTAAGCTCAAGAGCTGGAGGTTGCTATGAGCTGTGTGATGCCACGGCATTCCATTGAGGGCTGAGGGCGATAAAGTGAGACTCTGTCTCTTAAAAAAAAAAAAAAAAAAAAAAGGCTAACAATCAGATGTGATAGTTAACCCTTTAACAAATACATTTTCTCACTGACGGACTAAATCAGAAGTAAGTGGGAATCAGTCCACGTTAAATAGCTCGTGTAAACGTTTCCCTGGCTGTTGCTGCTTTAGGGACAGCAGAAATCAATAATACATCTGCCAGCATGCTCAGAAACATGAAGACCTCCCTCAGACATTTAACTGGCCTCTGAGAAAGCAAGGTGGTACTTGTCTGCCTCAAAGTTACATGTCTGTGGTGCATGCTGCGCTCTGGCCTGGCTGCGGTGCCACAGACCTGCCACTGCAGTCTGCTAATGTTTGCTGCTTTGTCTCAGGGCTCGACCACCTGCTGGACGAAAACAGGGTGCCAGATCTCACACAGATGTACCAGCTGCTTAGCCGCGTCAAGGGTGGGCAGCAGGCATTGCTGCGGCACTGGAGCGAGTACATCAAGGTACAGGCTGAGCAACTCCCAGAACTCTGCCCACACTGTGGGCAGCTGATGGGGACACCTGTGGTTTCTCCGTCACAAGTGGTGGGCTGGGCAGCAGTCTTTCATTTCCTTCCAAGTCATTTGTATACTTTTTTTATAAGATAGTACCAACAGTGATAAATGCCATCCAGGTGGACATGTATGACTTAGAGAACAACTGTTTGAGTATTCGTCATCAGCATAAGTACTTCCAAAGCTTAATTCTTCAATCATGATTTCTCAAAAGTAATTGTGGCCAGGAGTGGTGGCTCACTCCTATAATCTCAGCACTCCTAGAGGCTGATGTAGGAGGACCATTTGAGCTTAAGAGTTAAAGAAAAGCACCTGCTTCCATGAGCCTGCTCCCTCATCTCATGCCTTTGCTCAACTTGGTATATTGGGTTGGCCTGTGCAGCAGTCCAAATTTAGGAGTTACTGTCCACCTAAAAACAAAGGTGTTGAGGATTTATATTGGATTTTATTTTTTTGAGACAGTCTCACTATGTTGCCCTGGGTAGAGTGCTGTGGCATCACAACTCAGAGCAATCTCCAACTCTTGGGCTTAAGAGATTCTCTTGCCTCAGCCTCCGAAATAGCTTGCCACAGTACCCGACTATTTTTTGGTTGTAGTTGTCAATGTTGTTTGGCAGGCCCAGGCTGGATCAGAACCCACCTTCTCTGATGTATATGGCTGGCACTCTAGCCACTGAGCTACAGGTGCTCAGCCTGTTTTGTTTTGTTTTTTAATAGAGATACGGTCTCTCAGTGTTACTCAGGCTGGTCTCAAATTCCTGGCCTCAAGTGAGCTTCCTGCCTGGACCTCCTAGTGTGCTGAGATTATAGGCATTAGCCACCATGCCTAGCCCACCTGTTCTTAAAAAAAAAGTCACTTTATAAGGAAAAAACCTCAAATAAATATAAATTTGCATAAATTCTTTTGGTGCATATTTTGATCAGCAAAATCATTTTTAAAAAATGGTAAATTTAGCTCAACGCCCATAGTTCAGTGAGTAGGATACCAGCTCCATACACTGGGCCTGGGCCTGCTAAACAGTGACAACTGCAACCAAAACATAGCCGAGCGTTCTGTCAGGTGCCTGTAGTCCCAGCTACTCCGGAGGCTGAGTCAAGAGAATCACTTAAGCCCAAGAGTTTGAGGTTGCTGTGAGCTGTGACGCCACAGCACTATATAGAGGGTGACAAAGTGACTGTCTCAATTAAAAAGGTAAATTAGCATTTTCTAAAACTTTCTCTTTATTTACTTTACTTGTACAGACGGGTCTTACTTTGTTGTTCAGGTTGGTTTTAGAAACCTGACCTCAAGTGATCCTCCTGTCTTGGCCTCCCCAGCTGCTGGGCTGATAAGTGTGAGCCACTACAGTTGGCCATAAATAGGGTTACTTACAGAAGCTTATACCTTAATGTTGCTAAAGCATTTTTCTTTTATCCCTCATGTGCCCTGTTAAGCCCATTGTATGGTGGCTTCTTGACTGTCACCTTGAGTTCTACCACGTCCCAGCCCACAGGCTCCTTAGGGCACTGTCCATGCAGGGCACACACAACATGTCTGAGAGACATTTCAGGTTGTCACATGGGTGTTTAGTGATGTTTAACGTGGCACTTCTGAATTAAAGGTACACAGTAAAAATTGGGACTATTCATGGTTAGAGGTGGTGAAGAAAGAAAATCATGGTCAGGAAGCCTAGGTCACTGTATCAAGTTGACAGGAGTTAACTTTTATCTGAGGAACTTAGAAGTAAAAGTTATTTTAAAAGCACTGGTAAGCGGGCGGTGCCTGTGGCTCAAAGGAGTAGGGCACCGGCCCCATATACTGGAGGTGGTGAGTTTAAACCCGCCCTGGCAAAAAACAAACAAACAAACAAACAAAAAAACAAAGCAGCACTGGTAAGCTGGGCATGGTGGCTCACACCTATAATTCCAGCACTTAGGGAGGCCAAGGTGGGAGAATTGCTGGAAGCCAGGAGTTTAAGACCAGCTGGGCAGCACAGTAAGACCCGTCTCTACAAAAACAGAAAAATTAGCCAGGTGTGGTGGTGCCTGTGGTCCCAGCTACTTGGGAGGCGGAGGCAGGAGGATCCTTGAGCCCAGGAGCTCAGTGAGCTGTGATGGGACCACTGCATACCAGCCTGGGCAACAGAGAGACCTTGCCTCAGGAAAAAAAAGAAAGAAAGAAAATACTGTTAGATGTTTTTATAAACCAACACCTGACCTGGTATTTTATTTGCTTTTGTAGACTTTTGGGACAACGATTGTCATCAATCCTGAGAAGGATAAAGACATGGTGCAAGACCTGCTGGACTTCAAAGACCGTGTGGACCATGTGATCGAGGTGTGCTTCCAGAGGAACGAACGCTTCGTCAACCTGATGAAGGAGTCCTTCGAGACCTTCATCAACAAGAGGCCCAACAAGCCTGCCGAGCTCATCGGTGGGTGCGGGACGTTCCCGGGGTGCTCAGCCACTCGTGGGGGCAGCGGGAGGGTTGTGTCAAGCTTTATTAGGACATGTTTTAGGAAACTTACACACGTGGTGTGCTCCAACGTGTGTGCATGACGTTTCCATAGGGAAAGTGTGGCAGGAATTTGGTAAGAAAATGAAGCTTGACTTCACAAATGAAGGTGAGGAAGGTCTATCCCAGTCTGTATCTCCTGACCTGGCAGCTCCCAGCTCTCTTGTGTAAAGATCATCCTTGATTCTCTATGATTTCTGCTCAGAAATTAGACTGACGTGGTTTATTGTGTAAGAATGTCCTGTGTTGTGAGGATAACTTTATCAGTCTCTGGGTAGTATTTAACTTGAGATATCCTTTAATCACCATCTTTGCATCTGTAGTCTATATTAAAATGGGATATAATTAGGTGAGATCTCAAATGATAGCCTATTTTAAAATGAAAGGGGGCTCAGTGCCCATAGCACAGTGGTTACAGCGCTGGCCACATACACCGAGGCTGGCAGGTTCGAACCCAGCCCAGGCCTGCTAAACAACAATGACAACTGCAACAAAAAATAGCTGGGCATTGTGGTGGATGCCTGTAGTCCCTGCTACTTAGGAGGCTGAGGCAAGAGAATCACTTAAGCCCAAGAGTTTGAGGTTGCTGTGAGCTGTGACACCATAGCACTCTATCAAGGGCCACATAGTGAGACTCTGTCTCAAAAAAAAAAAAGAGTTTCTTTTAAATCATACTAATTTATACAATTATTTCATGATAAGATCAAAATAGATTCTAGAATTCATAGGCTTTTGCTAGTCAATAAATGTTTTCTTTAATTTACAGTAGGAAAGGGGCAAAGAGAAATGTCATACAAGAATGCAGAGTCAGCTGTCTGTCAGTCACTGTTGGTGACATGACCGAATGTGGCTTCGTCGTATAACCCTCTGCTTTCTGTTCTATGTCCTATGTGTTTGGAATATTCCAAACTCCAATAAAAGTTAAAATGAAAGAAAAGCTAATAAAAGCAACAACAAAGGAAATTGAAGAGGCAATTTGACTTGGGTTTATACCACTCTGTTGGTTGTGTTTTCTCTGATGAAGACAGGTGTAAAGCTCGTGGGAGTTTGGGCTCAGGAAGTCCTGAGTTCTGTCATGATGAAGGGACTTTAGTCCTCCCTCCCAGGCCACCGTACAGTGAGCTTGTGCAGCCTCAGGAACAGGAATCTTATACACAGGCTCTTGTCCCTCACTGCCACATTGGATTTAACTACTCTGAGCCTTGAGAAAAATGCTTTTTATTTGAGAATGCCTCTTCTGAGTTTACTGCAACATCTTAAAAATGAGGCACTCCAGTGTCTGGGGCAACAACGTGTCAGGACCGCAAGAATGTGGTCACAGGAATTAGTTTTGTTCTTACATTTAGAGTTTAAGTTTAGAGATGTAGAGATTGGAAGATGTATTTAAGTCTGCTTTTAAAATTCAGGCCCTGGCTTTGATAAAGTTTTAGGTAGTATACATACTTATTCTGACATGGTTCCAGAACACCTATCTTAGAAGGTTGAGTATTGTCACTTGTCACATCATAATGTCATTTTGGAAAGGTTTGGAGTATTGCTGTCCGTTGGTTGCCTGTGCAAACTGAAAGTGTGTCTTTCCTCACCTGGACACACACAACTAATGCTCGTTCACTCCCACACAGCAAAGCATGTTGATTCGAAGTTGCGGGCAGGCAACAAGGAGGCCACCGACGAGGAGCTGGAGCGCACCCTGGACAAGATCATGATCATCTTCAGGTTCATCCATGGTGAGGAGCACTGCAGGGCCTCTGCCATGTGAGGCTGGTGCTGCATGACCCAGACACAAGTCAGAGCCCAGGGGCCCCCACTGGGCCTGTCTCTTCCTGGGGAAATTGGGCACAAGAATTCGAGCATTAGTAGAGCTGGTTGGCATTAGAGTGAACACTTGGAAGGGTCTCTGACATTTGCATGTCAGCTGTCTAAGTTCTAATGTTTTCATCTGGTTTTAAATAGGTAAAGATGTCTTTGAAGCATTTTATAAAAAAGATTTGGCAAAAAGACTCCTTGTCGGGAAAAGTGCCTCAGTCGATGCTGAGAAGTCCATGCTGTCAAAGCTCAAGCATGGTAAGGGGGGAGTGGGGCTGTTCCTGCCTGCTGGGGTCCGGCCCTCGCCTGCCCTCACCTGCATGGGGGGGCTGTTCCTGTCCTCCAGGGTCGCGGCCCTCTCTTGCCCTCATCTGCTTGGGGGGACTGCTCCTGCCCAGCCAGGGTTGGAGCCCTCGCCTGCCCTCACCTGCCCCTCCTTGTGTGCAGAGTGCGGTGCGGCCTTCACCAGCAAGCTGGAGGGCATGTTCAAGGACATGGAGCTGTCCAAGGACATCATGGTCCACTTCAAGCAGGTGTGTTGTTTCTGCAGGTGAAATGACTTTCTAAACTGTAAGAAAGAGTCTTGGTACTTCACAAGTAAGTCGAAGTGACAGTGGAAAATAATCTTGAGGCTCGGTGCCCGTAGCACAGTGGTTACATGCCAGCCACATAAACCGAGGTTGGCAGGTTCAAACCTGGCCCAGGCCTGCTAACCAACAATGACAACTGCAACAAAAAAGTAGCCAGGCGTTGTGGTGGGTGCCTATAGTCCCAGCCACTTGAGAGGCTGAGGCAAGAGAATCGCTTAAGCCCAAGAGTTTGAGGTTGTTGTGAGCTGTGACACCACAGCACTCTACTGAGGGTGACATAGTGAGACTCTGTCTAAAAAAAAAAAAAAGGAAAAGAAAAGAATCCCGAGAATGTATAACAGAAATTTGGTTCAAGCAAGTTAGTATATCATACTGGTGACATACCAGAAGAAGGGAAAGAGTACTTGTGATGATATTGGGACACATTTGGCTTCAGTGGAATATGTTCTCAGGATAGAAATAAATATTAAACCAGATGGAACTTTATTTTGATGATTACACCATTGACTTTGTTACAGATTAATCACTTTTGATGGCTTTCTAAAATACTGTTTTATCTTGGATTTCTTTGTTTTTAGCATATGCAGAATCAAAGTGACCCAGGCCCTATAGACCTCACCGTAAATATTCTCACGATGGGGTACTGGCCGACATACACGCCCATGGAGGTGCACTTGACTCCAGAAGTAAGTGTTGTGGAGCATTTTGTCCTGCGTCTGTCGGCACAAGCATGTTACCTTCAAGAACTATTTGATGGGCTCAGCGCCTGTGGCTCACGCCTCTAAGGCGCCAGCCATATACACCTGAGCTGGGTGCATACAACCTGGGCCCACCAAACAACAGTGACGGCTACAACCAAAAAATAGCCAGGCGTTATGGCGGGCTCCTGTAGTCCCAGCTACTTGGGAGACGGAGGCAAGAGGATCGCTTAAGCCTAGGAGTTGGAAGTTGCTATGAACTGTGATGTCACGGCACTCTACCTAGGGTGACAGTTTTTGAGGCTCTGTCTCAAAAAAAAAAAAAGAACTATTTGACAGGCTGGGCATCGTAGCTCACACCCATAATCCTAGCACTCTACACCCATAATCCTAGCACTCTGGGAAGCCAAAGCAGGTGGATTGCCTGAGCTCAGGAGTTTGAGATCAGCCTGAGCCAGAGTGAGACCTCGTCTCATAGCTGGGCCTTGTGGCGGGCACCTGTAGTCCCAGCTACTCAGGAGGCCAAGGCAAGAGGATCACTTGAGCCCCAGAGTCTGAGGTTGCTGTGAGGTATGACACCATGGCACTCTACCCAGGGCAGCAGAGTGAGATTCTATCTCAAAAAAAAAAAAGAGAAATATCTGGCAAAAAGTTTTTTATGTTGCCCAGTTGGTCAGAAATTAGAGTGTCCTGGTCTCTGGAAGGCAGTGTTGGAAAGTAGCTGCCTTTGTCACTGTCTGCAGCTCCCAGTGCAGCTTGTGTGCACTTGTTGGCCATCAGGGAGGTGGGTGGCTTGTTTTGAGAGTTGCTGCTTTCTGCTTATTCTTTCCATTGCAGACAGTGCTAAAGTCTTGGGAACGGCATTATTTAGAGTCTTAGCTGTCAGCCAGTGCTGGTGCTGTGGGGGCTATGTAGTGGGAGTTAATATCCAGCGGAGGAGCAGCACACAGTAGATTTCACACCGGGCAGAATGAAGAGGGCTGAGGCCACTATGGGATCTGGGAAGACTTCCTGGAAAAGGCAACACTTTACCTGATCTTAATTAAGGATGGGCAGTTCTTGCTTCCACAGACAAGGGGTGGGGGCCTTGAAGCTGTTGTAGCAGAAGGATGTGAGGCTTTCCCTCACCCACTATGGGGTTAACACCAACACACCTATAACAAAAGACAGATAAGCAAGAGGACAGTGTGGCAGGTGTATTCACCCAAAATCTTTTGGCATAAGCACCTTCAGAAATGAAGACCTAAGGACCCAGGGAAGTCTGTCCATTTGAAGGCTTAGATTCTATGGAGAGGGAAAAGTTGCATGAAATGTGATTGGACCTGAGGAAAACAGGCCAAGGGGACTCCTGCTGGCTCTGTCTGTTCAGGTTCTCCTTGGCCTCTGTGTGGCACCCCCTCTCCCCCGGAGAACCAGGGTCTCAGGACCTGCAGTCACAAGGCAAGTCCAAGAGCTTCACTGCCATCACCCACATGGGAAGGCAGGGAGGGTTGCAGTCATGTTCCCAGGGTTCACGACTGACTTTGGGGGAGAGCATTCTGGTTCTCTGACCCTTCTCAGTGGAGAAAGAGGGGTGGGTGACCAGGGAGCAGGAGGTCAGAGACTCCCAGCCTCCCTGTGTTCAAGGTGCTATACTTTGAGGCATCATTTTCTAAGCCCCGCACAGCTAAGGGGGCAGAAAGAGCAGAGAAAGGCCCTCAGGACCAGGGTCAGAAACGCCAAAGGCCTCTCACTGGACATGGGCTGGTCCTTCTTGAAGCTGGATTTTCTTGATTTTCTTCTATCCAACCCCACTGGTCAGTTGCCCGTGTCATTTTCTTCTCTCTTATTCCACTTCTGTCCTAAATGCTGACGTCTCCAGAGCTGATCCTCGGTGCTCTGTCTGCCCCACAAGCCAGTCTGCTTGCACCTGGGATGCACATGGGCCGCTCTGCCCTTCTCCCTGGGATGCTCTGTTCTGTGAGGACTGTACCAATCTCAGGACCAGGCTCTGCCTGCCCACCACGGCCACACTGCCAGCTCCACGTGTCCTGCCACTTGGGAGCCAGCTGCAGGTCCTGTCACCCAGTGACGATCGCTGCTAGTGGACCCTCCCTTCCTCTCAGCCCCTCTGCATGCCTCTCACATATGCTGCCAAGGCTTTTACTTCTGAAATAATTCAGACTTACACAGAATACATTCAGATAGCTCGGAAAAGGCTCAGACACCTCACCTGTGTGCTGGCCCAGTCCTGTAGTGTCCTTTCTCATCTTCCGCCAGTTGTCTCAGACGTGTCCTTTCTCCTGCTTTTCCTGGGACCTGATGCAGAGTTCACGGGTCCTCACTGCGTAGCCCTGTGAGTAGCTTGGTTTGTGTGGCCCCTACCTGGCCCTGAGCCCTGTCACATGTGATTGTGTTGGGGGGGGGTTATCGGGTTTGTCCTTCTGTAAGGAGCAGGTGAGTCTTGGCGCACATCAGGGGTCAGCTACAAGGTGGGTCTTGCCTGAATCAGCTTTTACCCGGATGAATGGGACCTTTTCCCAGCTGTGTCATCTCTGTTTAGGACTCAGCGTTCCTACACAAGAACCTTTTCTCTACCCCATGTATTTACTTATTTCTCTCTCGTTATCAATACTAACTCATTTTATTGACTTATTTATCTTGTCTCAAATTTGGCGTTGGAACCTCCTTGAAGCTGCGTCCTCATTCTTCTGGTGCGCCCACGTCTTCTCTTCAGTACTTCTTTGTCTTCTTACAGAAGGTGTTTGAAGCTCATTATACCATGTATCTTTTCATTGCAGTAAAATATACCTTAATGCACAGTCTGCTATTTTAAAGTGTATGGTTCAGTGGCCTGAAGTATGTTCATTTCTTCTGCTTATTGGCAATTTGTGTATCTTGCTTGGAGAAATTATCTGTTCAAGTCCTTTGCCTCTGTGTTTTGGGGTTTTTTGTTTATTGGGATGGTTTTATTTGTTTGATTTTTGTTGTTTTGTTGTTGTAGAGACAGATTCACTTTATCGCCCTCAGTAGAGTGCACTGGCATCCCACAGCTCACAGCAACTTCAACTCCTGGGCTTAGGTGATTCTCTTGCCTCAGCCTCCTGAGTAGCTGGGACTACAGGCGCCAGCCACAAGGCCCGGCTATTTTTTTGTTGCAGTTTTGCCGGGGCCGGGTTTGAACCCGCCACCATTGGTATATGGGGCCAGTGCCCTACCCACTGAGCCACAGGTGCTGTCCATTTGATTTTGTGTTGTGGTACAAATCTCACTCAGTTGCCCAAGTGAGAGTGCAGTGACCTCAGCCAAGCTCACAGCAACCTCAAACTTCTGGGCCCAAGCAATCCCCCTGCATCAGCCTCCCCAAGTAGCTGGGACTATAGGTACCAGCCACTGAGCCTGGCTAGTTTTTCCATTTTTAGTAGAGACAGGGGCTCGCTCTTACTCAGGCTGATCTTTTTTTTTTTTTTTTGAGATGGAGCCTCAAGCTATCCCCCTGGGTAGAGTGCCATGGCATCACGTTCACAGCAACCTCCAACTCCTGGGCTCAAGCAAGTCTCCTGCCTCAGCCTCCCAAGTAGCTGGGACTACAGGCGCCCGCCACGACGCCCGGCCATTTTTTGGTTGCAGCTGTCATTGTTGTTTGGCGGGCCCGGGCTGGGGATTCGAACCCGCCACCTTAGGTGTATGTGGCTAGCGCCTTAGCTGCTTGAGCCACAGGCGCCGAGCCTACTCAGGCTGATTTTATGTTGTAGAAATATATGAGGAAGTAACTTAAAACTGAAATGATAACATGCCTGGGACCTGATACTGCTGAAGACGGGCAGTGGGTCCATCAGTGGTTTGGCTTCACAGAAAAGTTCCTCCAGCTGTGTTTCAAGCATGAGCAGATGCCATGCAGATGTGAGGTTGACAGAGCACTGGGGATCCAGAAGGGCCATCAGGAGGCTCTCACACCCCTCAGTGTCCTGCGGCATGTCTAGCAGGGAAGAGCCCCAGTCGGCCCTGCCCTCTGAGCTGTGTCTGGAGTCCATGTGTGCAAAGCACTGGGACTGCTGTAAGTCAGGAGGTCAGAGGAGGTCCTGGGGCAGCATGTGGGATCCGGCAAAGGAATACACGAGTGCAGAGGTCTGAGGCAGGAGGGAGGCTGGGCAGGGGCCAGTGCCATCACAGGCTAGAACTTCACTCTTCATCCCAAGATCTTTGGAAGCCACTGGGGACACAGACAGGGTACGGAAAGGGTACTGTGCAGGATGCAGAGTCTTCAGGAGCACTGGCTTTGTGGCCAGCTTCAAAAAGGGACATGGAAGCAGAGCAGGCAAGGGCCAAGGGGCCAGTCCATGGTGCCTGCAGTGCAGCTGGGACAGATGCTGGGGCAGGCAGAGGCCGCTAGAGCACTCAGGAGGCAGCGGGGAGCCCAGTGGCTGGAGGAATGGCAAGGGACATGCACTACACTCAGGCCACATGGAACCTGCCTCAGAACTGGGTGCCAGCAGCAGGCAGGGTCAGGACAGCAGGTGTTGGGACCTGAAAAATGAGTTAACAACAGTTTTTGTTTTTTTTTGAGACAGAGTTTCACTATGTCCCCCTTGGTAGAGGGCCATGGCATCACAGCTCACAGCAACCTCCAACTCCTGGGCTTAGGTGATTCTCTTGCCTCAGCCTCCCAAACAGATGGGACTACAGGCACCTGCCATGACACCCAGCTATTTTCTGTTGCAGTTGTCATTATTCTTTAGCTGTCCTGGGCCAGGTTCAAACCATGCTCCCATGGTGTATGTGGCTGACACTATAACCACTGTGCTATGGGCGCCGAGCCGGTAACAACAGTTTTTAAGAATTGGTGTGAGGCTCGACGCCTGTGGCTCAAGTGGCTAAGGCGCCAGCTACATACACCTAAGGTGGCGGGTTCGAATCCAGCCAGGGCCCGCCAAACAACAATGATGGCTGCAACCAAAAAAATAGCCGGGCGTTGTGGCGGGCGCCTGTGGTCCCAGCTACTTGGGAGGCGGAGGCAGGAGCCTAGCTTGAGCCCCAGAGTTGGAGGTTGCTGTGAGCTGTGAGACCACAGCACTCTACCCAGGGGGACAGCTTGAGGCTCTGTCTCCAAAAAAAAAAAGAGTGAAATCCTATCTCTACTGAAAGTAGAAAAACTATCTGGGCATAGTGGTGGGTGCCTGTAGTCCCTGCCACTTGGAAGGCTGAGGCAGAAGGATCACTTGAGTCCAGGAGTTTGAAGTTGCTATGAGCTGTGATGACCCAATGGCACTATATGCATTATTTTAATCAGTTAAAATAAAATAAAGTAAAATAAAAAATAACAATGGGTGGGAACTTTGGAAGATGTGAGAATTGACCTGGAGGGTAGTGCTGCTTTACACCATACTTCCTGTGCGGACCGAGTGCAGGTGTCTGGCCTCAGTGCTTGTGCAGCGGGTGCCCAACCTGGTGAGAAAGCTGGAGTGGTCACAGCTGAGACAGGGTGTGGCGTGGCCTGGACGTCCTCCTTGCTGGCCCCAGGCTTCCCTACCCGTGCCACGGGTGCTGGGGGGCAGGGCATGAGGTGCAGATCACAGAGTGGGCCTGTCTGCATAGAAGACCCCAAATGCCAGCATTGTCCTTGTTTGTGATGGGAAACCTAGAAGTTTACGGGTTAGGGAACAGGATCCGGTAAAGTGGCTGTGGAGGCACAGAGCCAACCAATTAATCCAGCTGTGACATGTGGGAGAAACTCTGTAGATTGAACAGTATGCAGTTGTTAAAGGTCAACAGTGTTGAGCATAATTGATCTGTTTGTTTCCTGTGCTTGACAGATGATTAAACTGCAAGAAGTATTTAAGACATTTTATCTTGGAAAACACAGTGGTCGAAAACTTCAGTGGCAAACTACTTTGGGGCATGCTGTTTTAAAAGCAGAGTTTAAAGAGGTAAGATCTTTGTTTCCTTTCGTTGTTATTTTCTGTAACTGTGCTATCAGAATTGTTTAAATTATCACTGAACTTTGGTAGTAAAGAAAGGAAAAGGGGCTTGGTGCCCAGAGCACAGTGGTTACAGCGCCAGCCACATATACTGAGGCTGGCGGGTTCAAACTGAGCCCAGGCCAGCTAAAACAACAAGGACAACTGCAATAAAAAATAGCCAGGCATTGTGGTGGGCACCTGTAGTCCCAGCTACTTGGGAGACTGAGGCAAGAGAATCGCTTAAGCCCAAGAGTTGGCGGTTGCTGTGAGCTGTGACGCCACAGCATCTACCGAGGGTGACATAGTGAGACTCTGTCTCAAAAAAAAAAAAAAAAAAATCAATAGAAACTATTTCTCTAATCAAAAAAAGAGTAGAGAATGTAAAAAGCAAAACTGAAAAATCAGTAGCGAAATGCCTTATGCTTCTCTGCTAAACAAAGTGCTGCAAATTAAAGTACAATAAGATGCTACTTTTTGACTAAGAAATTCATGAAAGCCAAAAATAAAAAGAAGCAGGGTCTCCTGCTGTCTGCAGAAGGCAGTGTGCTGCGGTGAGCACTGAAGGCAGTTTGGCCCGTGTCTTGAAACCCTCAGAATCACAAGCTTTGTTGCTGTGGTTCCAATTCTAGGGGTGCATCTTAGTGCCCATTTTCACAGACTGGTGAGGAGGGTATTGATGCAGTGCTTTTATTAAGATAGTCTAAGAGTCAGGAGTGTGCTGTGCAGGGCAGTGTTAAAAGAAAGAAGCACATCGAAAAACAGCACTTAGTAGGGTAGGGTCCCTTCACATTCACATGTAACTTCACTTTTGCAAATAAAATTTAATTATAAAATTCCCATTGTGTATAGCTATCATAATATACTTCCCCACACATTATCATGTCAATTAAAACAGACATGGTTTATGTGCATTATTATACAGGTTATATGCATAAAGCCACAGGTGCTCCTCTGTGAGGGCCTAGAAAAATTACTCTGCATCACCCCTTCCCCTAACTGCTGACTTCAATCAGAACTAGGCCTCTGCTGCGTCTGATGGCCACCACTGATTGCAACTCTGCAGATAAGGGCTTTTCTCTGTGTTGGGAATGGGCCTGGCCCAGCAAGCCCTGACTCAGCCTCCTTACTCCTCGTCCTGTACCTGGAGGTCCAAGGCCAGGTTTGGACTCATTCTGTATGTGTTGGGCCCATACAGAAGGCAGACCAGCTTCCCTCATGTCTACCGTGCCTTCCCCCTCATGCTGCAAATACTCTCACTGCCTTTCAGAGGACCACGGTGGGTTAGAAAATAGAACACAGAGGAGCCGTCAGACATGAGTCAAAGAATGAAAGTGCCCTTGTTGTTTGATAGAATTTAGGAAAGAACTTTCTTACTACTCTGAAAAATATTTCCTGAGAAAAATGTTTAAGTGCTGTACCTAATAGTCATTTTATTCTTTTATAATCTGTAACTTCTTCCTATTGGTATCTATTGGTAATTCCTTAATCCCCTCACCAAAAGTTTGAGAGCAAAAGAAGCCTCTTTTAATTTTTCAAAGATTGTACAAGCATAGCTTCAAAAATGGTATGTCCGGCTCAGCACCTGTGGCTCAATCAGCTAAGGCGCCAGCCACATACACCTAAGGTGGCGGGTTCAAATCCCCAGCCTGGGCCCGCCAAACAACAATGACGGCTGCAACCAAAAAGTGGCCAGCGCTGTGGCGGGTGCCTGTGGTCCCAGCTACTTGGGAGGCTGAGGCAGGAGACTCGCTTGAGCCCAGGAGTTGGAGGTTGCTGTGAGCTGTGATGCCATGGTACTCTACCCAGGGGGACAGCTTGAGGCTCCGTCTCAAAAACAAAAATGGCATGTCTGTCTCTTTCAGGGGAAGAAGGAGTTCCAGGTGTCCCTCTTCCAGACGTTGGTGCTTCTCATGTTCAACGAGGGAGATGAGTTTAGCTTCGAGGAAATAAAAATGGCCACCGGCATAGGTAGGAAGCCCAGGAGCATGTAGCTGCGAGCGTCACTGTTTGATTGTGTTTGCTGTCAGGGCAGACGAGCAGCCTGTGCTGGGCACACTCACTGGCATCTGCCATGTTTGTTGCTGGTTTTTCTGAGTGTTGACCAGCCTCTGCCTGTGTCTGCTTCCCTCAGAGGACAGTGAGCTGCGGAGAACACTGCAGTCCCTGGCCTGTGGCAAAGCACGTGTGCTGACCAAGAGCCCCAAGGGGAAGGAGGTGGAAGACGCAGACAAGTTCATTTTCAATGGGGACTTCAAGCACAAGTTGTTTAGAATAAAGATCAACCAAATTCAGATGAAAGAAACCGTATGTATAAACTTTATTTTTACTTACACATTGTTCATCAAGGAAGCCATAATTTTTATGGTAATTTTCATAGCATTAGAGAGCTAAGGTGTGTTTCTGAAGTATCTGCTTTGGACGCGCACTGTTGAGACAGTTCCATCAGCATTCATTAACTGCATTCTCGGCAGGGACGAGAGCCAGAAGTCCATGTCACAGCTATCCTGTTCTCAGAGGCAGAGTACTCAGTCACACTGTGCACAGCACAGTTCATCCTGCTCTGAGTTTCAGCCTTGGGCAGGTTGCGGAGAGGAGGAGAAGAAGATCTGTAGCCTGTCCTCAGCTGGTGTGGATCTGTGGCCCTGAGCAAGAGCAAGACCTTGTCTCTAAAAAATAGCTGGGCTTTGTGGCAGGCACCTGTAGTCCCAGCTACTTGGAGGCTAATGCAAGAGGATCACTTGAGCCCAGGAGTTTCAGGTTGCCATAAGCTGTGATGCCACAGCACTCTACTGAGGGGACAGAGTGAGGCTCTGTTTCAAAAATAAATAAATAGACATACAAAGTCTGACAATTAAGTTTATGAGCTTGTCAATGAGCACTTACATTGGTAGCACTGTACAAACAGCTCAGTAAGGTTTCTTAATCTTGGGACATCAGTGTCTCACAACTGTGTTTGGTGGTGTCTTGCTGAGTGGTATACGTTATTGTTGTTTTTATGTGCTGTCATGAATTAGAACAAGAAACAAACATTAAATTTCTTGTTAAACTTGGCAAGAATGGAATGAAATCAGGGACATGTTAGTCCAATTTATGGGGATAATGCCATGAAGAAAACAGCAGTGTGCAAATGGAATATTTCTCTGTGGGGAGAGAAAGTGTCACTGATAAAGAGAAGTCAGGGCAGCCAGTAACAAGCAGAGCTGATGGCTCGGCGCCTATAGCTCAGCCGGCTAAGGCGCCAGCCACGTACACCTGAGGTGGCGGGTTCGAACCCCCAGCCCGGACCCGCCAAACAACAATGATGGCTGCAACCAAAAAATGGCTGGGCGTTGTGGTGGGCGCCTGTGGTCCCAGCTACTTGGGAGGCGGAGGCAGGAGACTCGCTTGAGCCCAGGAGTTGGAGGTTGCTGT